GAGAACCCCTGCCAAGAGGTTCTGGGCCTGTGGTCTTCCCAGATGTGTGGACTACCATGTCGGTGGCACGTGGCAGTCAAGGGCCACTAGTAAATGCACAGACTAGTAAATGCATATGCTAAGAATTGTCCTACCCAGGGAAGACCTCACAATGACACCTGACAAGTGTTACCAACCAGCTTTCTGCAGCAGTTTCACAGAGACAGTTAGCAGGAGAACCTATGCCGCCAATTCTCAGGAGTACACAGCAGTGACAGCAGCGACACCACCTTTTTATCAGGCTCCCACCATGTGTCAGGCACTGCTCTAAGCACTGTCTTAACTGATTTCGTCTTCCCAGTACTCCTTTGAAACATTCTTATCCCCATGTTACAGATGAGGACATCGAGGTCAGGTAACTTACCCAATGTCAAAAAAAGGGTTAAGGAAGATCTGGCTCCCGAGTCCACATTCTGTTTTGTTGTTGTTGTTGCTTTTTAAGATTTTATTTATTTACTTTTAGAGAGAAGGAGAGAAACATCAATGTGTGAGAGATATGTTGATCAGTTACCTCTCATACGCCCCCAACTGGGGACCTGGTCCGAAGGCCTGATCGGGAAGCAAACCAGTGACTTCTCAGTTCGTAGGCTGGAGCTCAATCCACGAGCCACGTCAGTCAGAGCGTGAGTCCACATTCTGAACCACTGGACTGACCTATCCTTCTCAGTGATAATCGTAATTCAGATCCAATGAACTCACATGAAGCTACTCAGGGCCGTCAATCCCCTATTCACACGGCAAAGTACAATTTGGTTTCAGCAAAATATTGTATCAATAGATTTCCTTTTGAATGTTAGTGTCTTATACTTTAATTTGTAGGTGTTTTGATTTTATAGTTAAGAGTTATAAGCACAAAGTATTTATGCCTAATTTGAAATTACATTTAAGTAATATAAAAGTTGCTTAAGTGAACTCTTAGGTGTTAGTGAGACTCTTCACCCGTAAAGCATGCACTCCAAGAAACGCTGGCCTCTGGGGCTGCAGGAAGCCTGATTCCAAGCCCAGCGCTAAGAAAACTGGATGTGCGCTTGTGCGTGTGTGTTGGGTGTGTGCTGGTTCCTCACGGCACTGTCCAGTGTCAGTCTGCTCCCGTGAGTTCCCCATAATAACCACACAGGGTAGATGCACACTGGCTCAGTGACTGATGCTAGAATTTTCCAATCACAAGACTTATGAAAGATACAGGCAGACCCATGAGGAAGGGAAGGCTGGCTGGTCTGTGGGAGGAGGGAGAGGCCACAAGAGACTGAGACACGCATGAGCCTAAGTCGTGTGCAGGCCCAGCCACGTGGGGCAGGAGCTGCTGCTTTCCAGCACTGTTCGTCTAAATCCATCTGTTTGACATCGGAAAACTCTGATGTGCTCGGTGCTCAGAAGCTGTTTCTGGTGCCTACCAGACATTCTTACGGGGGCAACTCACTAACAGGCATCTGACGTTATCCTCCAACAGCCCTGTGAGGGGATCTCCATTTTAATGATGAATACAACAGAACTTTAATAGAGTCAGTAATTTGCCTGACATTACTGGACCTGTGAGTGGTAGACCGGGGCTTGAAGCCACAATAGATCTGCTCCAGGCCAGTTCCCAAAACCACTCCAAGCTGGTGTTATTCCCACGCCAGTCTGGGGAGCACTGTAAAGACTTGAGCCAGAGGTGGGAGTGGTGGGGAAGAGCAGGAGAGAAAAAGAAGGTCCTCAACATGGGCTGATGGAACGTGGAGCCAAGGGGAGGGAATGTTTAAGAAAAGGTTACCATTGTTTACCTGTTAGGTGAGCAAACATCCATAAGTTTGATAAGTCAGCCTTCTGTGACAAGGCTGAAGGACACAGGTACATTCCCCATGGCATGTGAATAGGCAGTATCTGTGCAAATTGCAAATCAACCTATTCTTTGGCTCAGTAATCTTGCTTCTGGGAATTCACTGAACAGAGACAACTGAATAGAACTAAAAAGACCACATGCACAAGGTTACAGCTAAAACACTGAACCCCAATGTCCACTAAATACGGGGCTAGTTAAATAAACTAAGGTATGTTCACACAGTGAAAAAGTATGCCACGGGGAAAAAAAACTCTAATGGGAAAAGACTGCCTTCAAGACAAGGCGTAGAATAATGTATTTATTATGCTAGCTTTTGTAAAAAGAGTGGTGGGGGGGTAAAAAATAAAATTTTAAAACATGCACATTGGTTATAGATGTATTTAGAGACACTGGAAGAATATGCAAGAAAATAATTATGGCTGTAGGAGTAGGAAAGACTTTTTACTGATTACAACATGCTAGATGTTTTTTGACCATAAATATACATCATCTACTAAAAAACTAATGTTGGGAAGCTTGAATGGAGAAGGCTCTGCCCAGTCTGCCTTCTTTAGTCAGCGGTGTTGCTCCATGTACTTCTCATCCACACTGGGCTGGGCCCCGTTTATTACCACCTCCTCCGGGCAGCACCCAGGGTTGCATCCTCTGGGAGGTCGTCTGTGAGGTCACAGAAGATCACCCTTATGCATCATGCTTCGTTGTGCTTTTTGGAAGATGTAAAAGCTGTGAACTATTGGTTTCCTTCTCTCTAGGTACAGAAGACAATAATATTTTACAGAGTCCCAGAGAGAATAAATAGCTTGTCAAAAGTCACCCAGGGCAGAGCTGGAGCTTGAACCAGCTCTGAGCTGTCTAAATGCATTCTCCTCACTGGCCCCATTTCATCTCCAGTCATAGCTCCAGCAACCTCAGTCCCTGAGGAAGAGGGACGACGTTCCCTTTGCCTTTCCTAGTGCCCTAATAGAGTTCAATGCTCCATGACGGGCAATGGCATGTTATGGGAAGAAAGGGAAGGAGGGAGGGAAAGAGGAAGAAGAGAAGAAATAAGAGGGAAGGAGTGGAGGAGGGGTGCTCACTCCTGCACAGACAGGGCTGAACCATCAGCATTGGCTGTCCCCAGGTCTGAATCCTCAGACTTGGGCTCCTCAGAACCACCCAGACCCTCGGAGCCACTCTCTTGGCATAGGAGGCTGTCAGAGTTCAGGCTGCGGGACAGCTGGGATGAACAGGCTGTGTTCAGGCTGAGGGGGGAGGAGGCAGTGAGTGGCCTGTTCTGCTGGGTCTTACAGCCCCAGTGCTGGACTTGGAGGTCTTCTGAGCCTGAGGAATGGGAAACAGAATGCAGAGATTCCTTCCGCTGTGGTTTTGTACCAGAGGGAGTCACAGGGTTGACTCAGAGAGTGGGCAGAACCCAGAGAGGGTCAGTGGGGTGAGCATCCACTTCTATAAGACGGTGGACCTGTAGGGGAGTTGTTGGGAGAAGGATGTGAGGCCCTGCAGGACGCAGGGGAGCTCGCCCCCCTGGGCATGTGGAAGGAGGGCGGTGGGCTGACAGCCCCCGCACAGGCGGGCCTGTGCCCGGAGGGGCAGTCTCTGGCAGCACTCCTGGCCGCGGCTGAGGGCCTGGCAGCAACCCGTGACCTTGCTGACAAGGATCAGGTGCTTCAATCCCAAGATGACGTGTTTGTGAGTGACAGCTTTCAGGAGGGGCCAGAGGACAAGTCAAGGCAGAGGTTTCCGGTGGGCACCCCTCTTGTCCCATCCTGCCCTCACTGCACAATGTGCTTGGCACACGGGCCGTGGATGAACACGGCTCCGGGGCGCTGCACATGGTGTTGGCATCTCCATCTTCGCTGGTGCCACTGTGTCTGCAGACACGTACTGCTTCTGCAACGCCTTCACGGATACCACTAGCTTCTCCCTGATGACCTGGATGGCAGCCCAGAGGTCTAGTCCATTTTTCCACTACTGAGAGCATTGCTACTCACGAGGCAGCTGTGGCGGAGAATCCAACACAAGCTGGGAGCGGGTGGGCTTACTCCCAGCCACGGCCGCCCCAGAGGCTCCCACCAAACCCTGTGGCCTCCTGGTTATGGACAATCCAAGCTGTGCCCAGATGCCTGACTCCACGAGGGCCGCATGCAGGCCCACCCCCCAGTCCGTGGAGCCTATTACAAAGCCTGAAGAGGCCTGGGGCGGGGCCAGCACTCACAGAACCCCAAGGGTTCCCAGCCACAGTGGTTTCCGGAGGCTCCCGATTGGTTACCCTAGTGGTCTGTCACCCCAGTGGGGTGGGGAGAGCTGAGGCTACTGGCAGGCCAAACCTTGCCTGCTTCCCCAGGGCCTGTGTCCGAGAAGATCCTGGTATCTAGGTTCCTGCCCTTCCCGGGGCTCCACACCACCTGCGTAACTTCGGGGCTGTCGTCTGGCCGCCTTCACTGAAGGTTGTCCACCTGCAAAATGGGGCCAATAACACCTACTCTTTGGTTGCCTCTGCGAGGGCCTCATTGCAGCCTGGCGGGGAGAGCTCAGGCCCAACTCATGTATCACAGCATTTTTACAAGACAGAATCATGTGAAAGAGAAACAACTTGTCTGAATGAAAGAAAGCACTGTGCCTGACTTCAGTCTCCCAGTATCTTGGATGGAAACACCCTCCTAACCTCAATGTTCTAAGTCAAACTTTACGTTGAACTTGAAAGTTCCCAGTAGCTTTTAATTATTGATAGGTTTTTGGTAAATGACATTTTGCAGAAGCAGATTGCGAAAAGACGAGTTTGCCTGCCGCCTGATTTTCAGCATTCCAAGGGAACAGTTCTCACCATTTCTGCTCCCTGAACTAGTACACTCTTCAAAGGGATTTATTTCCGGTTTCGTCAGGTGGGTATGTTGAAAGAACCTGGAATATTAACAGCCAATGCATCGCAGGTCCTATCTGCTGTCCTTATTAAGTGGTACAGTTTTCTCATCCTTCCAAATATTTTTTCCTAACCCAAATTCTCATTTTCTTTCCTCACAATTATCTAAGTAATTTGATTCCCAAGAGGTTATATTTCTGAAGAAAATATGACTATGTCATGCTATCACAATTAAATATAACTCAATTTCAAAGAAGAAAATATGTAGACAAACTTATTAAAAGGAATTTTTAAAAAAGACACAGACACTCATCTCTTGCAAAAATGATTCTATGAAATGTGCATAAAATAACCAAAGAAGGACAGAGACCAGAAAACCCGTTGAGATCCTGATTGACTTCACAGTATTAAAAAGCTAATGGGCATTTCATGGTTTTTCTTTTAGAATTCATATGATGGAAACAGAATACTATTTAGAAAGAATGAAAATATTAGTTTTCCCAAACAAGTATAATATATATATTAAATAATTATACATGTATATTTAATTTTGTTTAAGTTTTTCTTCAATTTATTTAATGCTCTCAAAAAAAGGAACAGAACAAAAAAATGTGGGTAATTTGCAATGTTTGACTTTTTAGAAAGTTTTACATATTGAGGGTACAATATTCTTTCACTGGAAGGTAGAGAGTGAAAGCCGAGTGAAATAATAATAAAGTGTGGATTTTGGTCACTTAGAAAATGACAGTGAACAAGTATTACCTAAAAGGAAACTTAAAAATCGCCACTGGCAGCGATACACACATTTCTCGGCTTACAGGGTCCATTCTGCAACAATAAGCTGGTGCAGCCAGGTAAGACTAAAACTGGCAAAGAGCTCAATTTGGTGGCTGTCATTGAAATTGCCAACTGGTGATCTGAATTTAATCAATTGTTTATGGAATCACAAATTTGAACTAAATTTACATTGAGGTGTAGCAGTGATAAATATATACAAACAGACGAGTTTATCACCTTGGAGTATTTCAGGACAAGGAAAACATACAAAACTTTTTTTTTTTTAACACAATAGAGCTTAAGTCCTCAGAAATAAATTCTACCACAATAAGAACATCTACACCACAAAAACATGTTACTGAAAACATACAGACAGCGTGGCCTGCATCTTCTGCGTGTTTCTCCCCTCCCGGCGGCAGCCACATTGGTGTATCAGTCCAAACTCACATGAGCAACCCCTTCCCATACACAGGCCAGGCGCGTGTGAGCAGAAAACAGCAGTGTGAGCAGACAATCGGCAGAGCCGCTGACCAAAAGCAAAGCATTTAGTTACGAGACTTTTCTATAAAAAGAACTTTCAAGTCTGAATAGATCCCCCGAAATTAAAAAGATGCTTGCTTCTACTTTAGGAGGCTCAACACTGTGCAACGTAAGTGAGAAACAATTCTGTTTGAGGGGAAAATGCGTACTATAATGTAAGCAGGGTAAAAAGTGTCACCAAAAAAGAAAGTCTGGCTACCAACACGATCGCCCCTGCATCTCCCCCTAATTCAGAGAAAGGGAGTGTCACTTTCCTTTCAAGCTGCAAAATGTTTCAATGGACACCTTTCAGATGGTCTTCAGAAAATCTCATCATCACCTCCTCTAACCTCAGTCTGTGAATGACGCACACGAACATGCATTGCATAGAAAACCTTAACGAGCGGCCAAAGACAGTTAGGTAAGCGGCAGACTGCAGTGGCCACCTGACTCACAATCAGTCAAGCTCTCGGGTGACATGTCCCCCTTCCAAAGTAGCAGCTCTTTCTCAGGGAGGGAGGGAGGGGCCACGCACGAGGACAGTGCTGGTGCATCGCCTTCCTCGAGTCCCAGGTAAGAGGATGACTTGCACACGGATTGGTGCCACCTGGATTCCGACAGTCGAAGCAAGTTTGGCATTTCTTCCCCAAAGTTGAGGGAAAAAAATACTAGAGGAAAATGATTTTCCATGGATTATTCTATACCTCAGGTTTCTTTTCATGCAAAAAAATTTAGGGATACCGAATAACAACTAACCTTTGATCAAGAGATTTTGTTAGAAGTTACCATACCAGTGCAAAAATACCACACTAGATGATTAAAATTGTAAGACGATTAAAGTCATAAAATTGGTACTGCACTCGGTGACGACGGTTCTAGCTTTTGGGTACCCGATGCTGCATGGAATCAGGGAAGGGAACATTCCTGGAGGGGGCTGTTTTCCTAATTTGCTACTATTTAAAAATGCTGCACGCTGGGGGCTAATGCTTCGAAGTGCTGTTCAGAGTACCAGTTAAAACCCCGAACCGGTAAAATCAGCCTCTACTCTGGACTGCCACGTCCGCAGTGCAGGCTTGGGGACCGCGCTGCATCTCACACCCTGCTCACCTCACCTACACGGTTGGCGGCAGCGGCGCGCCAGCAGGACGGCCGTGAGCTGGGTGGCTGCCCCCCAGGATGGCGCCGCCTCGCACCACCGCGCCCGCAGGGCTCACGGAGCACAGCTGAAGGTCTGGGGCTCGCTCAGGGCTGTGGTGGGAGGTTCAGGGCGCCGCGTCTGGGTAATTTTCTGTTTGGGGTTTTTTGTTTCTTCTTCCTCTTCAGTTTCGCTTTCACAGACATGGACCACAACGCTGGGTGTCGACTCAGTTCCTGCGTGGAGTTCGTACTTCTCTCCTGGGGAAGCCAACAGCAAAAAGAAGAGTTTGGTTTCTGGAAACTTCTCCTTCTGCTCCCATTTTAACCGCTGATTATTGGATTTTAAATCTTTAAATCTCCTGCTTTATCTCGTTTTAGCATTAGAGCTTTGATACTTTAAAATTCTCGGGAAGTTTTGCTGTTTCAAGAAATGAGCTGTAAGGAGCCCTGAGGCCTGGGAGTTAAAATGCTAATTATTGTTCTAAGAATAAAACAAGTGAAACTCTTCAGAATGGTGTTGATTTTTCCTTGGGAGACACTTGTTTTTGTTTTGCTTTCTTTACTTTTTTTTTTAGTGCTGTTCAAGCATGGTTGTCTCCATTCCCCCCCCCAAACTCGCCCCCCCCAGCCATCCCCACCTCCCACCCCCATCCCAGCCCCCTCTGGTTTTGTCCACGTGTCCTTTATAGATGTTCCTGAACACCCTCCGCCCCCATTGTCCCCTCCCACCTCCCCTCTGGCAGACATCTGTAAGGCTCCACCAGGCGGCATCCGCAATCCCTTCATTACAGAACCTCAGACATGCAAGATCCGTCCCTCACATCTACATCAGAACGAAACCGTTTCCCCTCAAAATGACTCTTCTGTCCCTTGTGACAGACACGACACTGCCTTAGGGGGACAACGTGTCTGAACCAGCAACGAATGGCACGGATTTCTTATATTATTCTAAAGGGACGAGAGAAATAAAAGAGAAGGAAAAAGAAGAAATGAAAAATAGATAAAGAGAAGAATTTGGAAGGGATAATATGGTAACACCACCAATTCCCTGATCTTCCGTAGCGGCCGTCTGTCTGATGCTCTGACAGGGCGGGGAAGGCAGCCGCTGCTCACCAACGGCTTGCTCTGTACCGGTGGGACTTGCAGCAGTAAAAACTGTAGTTAGAGTTACGGAGTATTATGCGTATATCATCTAATTCTATGACCACGCTGAAAAGTAGCTACTATGATCCCTATTTTTTAAAAGATTTTATTTATTTATTTTTAGAGAAAGGGTAAGGAAGTGAGAGAGAGAGACAAACATCAATGTGTGGTTGCCTTTCGTGGGGCCGCTACAAGGGATCTGGCCCGAAACCCAGGCATATGCCTTGAGTGGGAATCGAACTGGTGGCCCTTTGGTTCACAGGCCAGCACTCAATCCACTGAGCCACACCAGCCAAGGGGTATGATCCCTATATGAGATGAGAAAACAGGCGAAGAAGACTGGAGGCTAAGTAAACTGCTCAAGATCACAAAGTTAGCAAATGCTGGTGAACCCGGGCTTGTGCAATTTCATCCTTCACCCGAATTCCATTGCCACTATTGGCTAGAACACAAATTGTGGAATATCGTCTTCAATACAAAAGTTTCTTTGGGAAAAAAAAGGAAAGAGGGGTGCTTGTTACCTGGTCCCAATTTGGAAACAGCACAGAGCAGATCATAATTTATCAGAGGCATTGAATCTTCACCCTGCTTCCACCCCACCGGAGGGGACGCCGGAGGGGAGATGAGGAACTGTTTGACCGGCTGGGGCGGCAGCAGGTACGACTTGTCCCGTGTTTCACTGGAGGTCTGTACCTGCAGGGAAGGAGATGCTCAAGGTCGCAGCTGGGCTATTTTCTTCACGTTCATCTTTGCATTAATTGTTACATCTCTTTGGAGAAAATTCAAAATTTCTCTCTAATTTCTCCCTCTCCCATTAATTGTTACATCTCTTTGGAGAAAATTCAAAATTTCTCTCTAATTTCTCCCTCTCCCATTGGTTGGGTTTGGTCTTTCTGGTTTTCATCTGGAGTGTGAGACAACAAACCTTTCTCTCTCTTTTTTTAAATTTGAAAGCTGAGGCCAAGAAAAAAATACTTTGCTGAAAATAAAACAGTGCATCAGCAGAGATCTAATGCCTTCATTTCACCAATTCATTTGAGAAGAAATTGGTTTCTCAGAGGCATGTCAACAAACAGCATCAGTACGGCCAACTCTTGGGAGCCCACAGAACCTTCTGCAATTTAAATGCTAAGACAACCCTGCGGTGCCGGGCTTTGCCACCTTCCTGCTCGCCCCCGCGGCCAGCAGCCACTTTCAACAGGGCATCTCATCTGTTCCAGAACACAGAAGGGATTGCAGGTATTTTCTCAAATCTCCCAAGGATGCTGCATCATGAGTGCCATTCTGGATATTCGGAGAGAAGTGAATTCCCTGATCTCCGGGTGTTTGGGCTTAACCCTCATAAAACCCCAGTTGAGAAAAGCTACCAGGAAAATGAATTCCTTTCACTATTAGTCTAAGCAAGACAAAGTTAGGGGGGCAAATATGCTTCATGTATACATTTATATATCTGTAAAATAAAGAAACGATATTTTTACATTATTTGCTGACGGGGATTGCTCATCTCCAAGACCTCTGATGGAACAGGTCAGTCGGTCAGTACTTTTGGATGGAGAGGAACAAGGTTGGGCACAGCGTCCTTGGCTCTATGAAGTACCTGTGCAAAATACAGCTTCAGCTTCTTGCCATTGAAGTCTGTTTCGTGGAGTTCTATTCGTGCTCTTGCTGCAGCTTCAGGTTTGCTGAAATTTATCCTGACTCTTCTGAAGCTTTTAAACAACTGAAACGTAACCTGGTCATCGTAGATGGTGAAAAGTGCTTCGAATCTCTCCTACAAGTTAGGGAGCGGCAGGGCAGAGAGATGGAAGGAAAAAGGAGAAAGCCTTTACCAAAAAGAAATGTAAATTATTAAAACATAAACATGGGATAGAACCCATTATAATTTGCCTTTTTCTCCCCTCCAAAAAGCACCCTTTTCTTGCAGGTGTCCTGTTATTCATAGCCTGAGTTCTGTAATTTGCACTTATTTTAAAAGTGATTAACGTTTTAAATTCAAACTATAAGATAAATGTAAAGTGTTACAAAATAAATGTAAGGTATAAAAAATGACACAGACGTGTCCAATTATTGAGCGAGAACATCACCACCGTCTTCAAGCCCCCAGTGAGCGGCTGTTTTCTTCCCCCACCTCATTTCTTTCCTTCTTCCCAGTAACCATTTCTGAAATTTTGTGTTTGTGATTCCTCGCTTTTCTTAACGGTTCTACATTTGTATGCCTACAGATATAGTTGTGTGGTATGTAGTCTCCAATAACTTGCTTCTAAATTCTTCCTTGCTGCTGTGTGTAACTGTAAGCCACTCTTTTTCACTGCTATATGGTACTCCGTTATAAAGCCATACCAAAATTCATCTAATGCTTCTGGAATTTGGACTCCCTCCAGTATTTTGCTACTACGATGCTGCTATGACTTTATTTCTTTTGGAGAAAATTTATTTCTTATTGGTTATTCACAGTGATGCCAAATCCTCAACATTTTTGAGACTTGCTTTTGGTTCAATTACGTCATCAACTCTCATAAATTTTCTACGTGTCCTTGAATGTTTCCACAGCTCTTGGGTGCAGTTTTGTAAATACGTGCAGTATTAGTTTAGCTTGTGTTCTTTAAAAGTTCTATACACTAATTTTGGGGGGGAGTTCTATTTGAACTATGTATTACTGAGAGAGGTCTGTTACAACCTCTCACTCTTTGGTGGGTTTATTTTTCCCTGCAATTTGGTCACTTTTCCTTCATATACTTTAAAATTCTTTTTTAAAACTGATTTTTAGATTAAGTAAAGAGAAGCATCGTTTTGTTGTTCCCTTTACGGACGTATTCACTGGTTGACTATTGTCTGTCCTGACTGGAGGTGGACCTTGGTGTACCAGGAAGATACCTGGCTGGGGCTGCCGCACACACTTTAAAGTCCTGTTATATTGTGTACACAGAAGTTCAGAGTTGCTTTTGCCCCCTGGCAGACTGAACCTTTAATCATTGGGTAGTGGTGCTTTTTATCTCTAGGAATGCCTTTGCTGTAGAGTCTGTTTTTGTCTGATGTTAACACAGTGGCTGTAGCTTTCTCTGGTTATACACTGCATGGACCTCAATGTCCATCCTTCACTTCTAACCTTCTTGCACCCGTATATTTTGGATGCACCTCATGTAAGGAATGTGTGTGTGCGCATGAGCCTGACAATAAGTCCAGTCTGACTACCACTGTTTCAGATTATCTACGTTCACTGTCTGGTTTTTGCTAGTCTCCCCTCTGCATAAAATTCCTATGACAGATGCTGCTGTACCCTTAGCACCTTCTGTCCAGATGCCTAATATCCTACAGACACAGCTCCTCTTTTTACAAAAGAAAACAATACAGATTTTCCCTCGAGGTTCACTAGGGAGAATGTGATGCCACAAAAATAGCCTTTCAGGTAAACCTGGATGGTACACGCCCTAAGTGTTTTGAGACGGAATACAGCAAGCAGGGAAGGAGAGCAATATTTGAGTCATTTCATGAGGCTGAGGGGAAAAAAGTTACGTTCCCATTTGTTAATGCACTGGGGTAGCGAGAAACTGAACTTCAGTTATCAGAAGAATAGCAACATTAAATTTTCTCTACTGGTCACTTTTACACCATAGTCCAGTAAATGAAATGCAACAAACGAGACCCAAGAACATTCTCGGTACCTTCAGAAACACTCTTAGGCTCACTAATAGTAACACAGTTAAAGAAACCTCTACACTGCTCTGGTTTGGGGCTCCGTGCAAATCTCCCAATGGCCTGTTGATAGGAAAGTGAAGATCATACACTCCCTCGTGTATCAGCATCTCTCAATTCGACCATTTACCTACCGCTATGAAATGCCTTCAATTTAACAAAATATGTCAGATTTGTGTACAAATATCTCTTTTCCTCATGTTCAAATATCCCTCATTATTTATAAAATGAGTTTTATCCAAAAAATTATATTATTTGTATTCATTCATTAAGAAAATATATTAAGTGACCAACTTCATGCCAGACCTTGCGCTAAGGACTGGCTTTCTAATGTCCCACAAAGGAGGTGAGCTGTAAGATCAATAATATTCGTATTTATTATTTCTACACATTAAAGTAATATGGACAAATAAATAACATTATAGGAATAGTAAGGATTTTTAAATAGATGTCAGGCTCTGGCTGGTGTAGCTCAGTGAATTGAGCATGGGCTGAGAACCCGAGGGTTGCCGGTTCAATTCCCAGTCAAGGCACATGCCTAGGCTGTAGGCCAGGTCCCCGGTAGGGGACGTGCAAGAGGCAACCACATATTGATATTTCTCTCCCTCTCTGTCTCTTTCCCTTCCCTCTCTCTAATAATAAATAAATAAAATCTTTTAAAAAATAGATGTTAGTTCTTAAAAGAAATATAAATGTAAATGTGTTAAATACTAATCAGTATTAATACTTCTAGGCAGTTTTCCCCAGCATCTATTTCAAAGATGGCTGGTTTCATCCCTCTTTAAAAAAATTAGAACTGAGATTTTGTGAAATTCCACTTAATTTTTGGTAGATGCTTACTTTCAACATATTTTGAATACTAAGTAAATATTAAAATTCTCACATGACCTAGTTAAGAAACACCAACACTGAACACAATGAAAATGAAAACTAAGGAAGAGCCCTGGCTGGTGTAGCTCAGTGGATTGAGTGCGGGCCTGCGAACCAGACCATAGAGGTTCGATTCCCAGTCAGGGCACATGCCTGGGTTGCAGGCTGGTTCCCTGCAGGCCAGTTCCCAGCAGGGGACGCACAAAAGGCAACCATACATTGATGTTTCCCTCCCTCTCTCCTTCCCTTCCCCTCTAAAGATAAATAAATAAAAATTTAAAGGAAAAAAAAAAGAAAACTAAGGAAGAAATAATGAATCATCGCTTATAAGAAATTAGTACTTTTTAAAAGATTTTATTTATTTATCTTTAGAGGGGAAGGGAAGGAGAGAAGGAGAGAAACATCAATTTGTGGTTACCTCTAGTGCATCCCCTGCAGGGAACTGGCCTGCAACCCAGGCATGTGCCCTGACTGGGAATCGAACCACGATCCTCTGGTTCACAGGCCCGCGCTCAATCCAAAAATTAGTATTTTGCCATTCTGTACATAAAACAATTTTCCTTTCTTAGGGGAAAAGGATCATATACTTATTTCTAATCCCCCAAAACAAGGAATTTTTTTATAGTAACAATAACGCAAGCTATCTTGCAAACTAAACAGCTACTTGATAATCACATCCTTCTTCCTCTTCCCTTTCAAAACAACTTTTTTACCATTCCAGAAACACACTGTAGCTGACTGTGATGTGCAGAGCAGTGATAGCAGCCGGGGTGCGGCTCTCTCGCTTCTGAATCCCAACACCTGTGAGCTAACGGATAATTATTCAAAATAAAGCCATAAGATTTGATCAGTAAGCTTTCTACAAACGTTGTTAGTTCTTCCCCCTCCTTCACTTCCCTTTCCCCCTTGGTATAGCATAAATATGATTTATAAGATGTTTGACTTCTGGCTGCGAGATGCTGCAAAAAATTAATGTAGAAGGAAAACATCACCGTTTCCTATTTGAGGAGACAAGAGCCCTCAGCTGGGGGCTCCGCTGTCCCAGGAATCGGCCGGCATGCACGCGTGGATTCCTCCGGCTGTCCCCGACCACCTGGCAAGTGCACAGAGGGATTTAGGGGACTGCAGACGGGCAGCAAGGACATCGTAATCCGTCAGCGCAGACTGAGGATGACTTGTGATGATGAATAGCTGACTTGTGACAAACATCATTCAATGCAGAAATCGAATCACTCTTTTCCTCCTAAGAATTGTTTTTGAAATAATCCATATTTCTAAGTTTCTGAATTCGTTAATGATACAAAATGAACACCATCCTGTTACAGGCTGACAGTTACACATTTACTCTGATAAGGTAACGGAGAGCCCACAAAACCTGAATCATCATTGACGACTTCCTCAGTGGTCACTTGGTATTGCCCTGTGGGGCATCGCATCTGGAGGAATAATACAAACATTTCAGTCTAAAAAACTGGTCCCTGAGGCCTTTCCTGTTATATAAAATGTTTTCCTCAGCATGCAGACCAGAAGCTGCCTTCCTATGCTGAAGTCACCTGTGTAATCAATCTGCAGAAGAAATGACCACACACAACTTGCCCCTAAAACAGGCAAAGACGACATGGAACCAACAACGTTCTCGGGAAATCAGGAAGCGCACTTGGTAGCTGGGCAAGAGGCCTATTAAAACGGCTGCAGGAGCGAGTGGAAGAGGCCCTACAGCATGGCGGCTAAGCGACCTTTCTGCAACTCCTCCCATCCCAAAGCAGAGAAGGTGAGCTTTATCACTGTCACGGAGGAACAAACCACAAAAACAATTTAGCTGCACTTTTGCACTTGGACTGGGAGAACCCTGGGCGCCTGCCCGCCAACATTCCACACTGAGAGGCACGATCTCACGGTGGAGAGGAAGCGCTGCTTCAGCGCCCTCAGCAGTGAGCTTGTCTTTGGCGTCCCAAAGCAAGAGTGTTTTCACACGCTGGGTCTCTCTGTGGATCCCAGACAGAAGATTCCGCCTCACCAGCACCGCGGCAGCAGGCTCATGGACGTCCGCAGTGGTCTCCACCTCTGCCCGGGGCACGGGGCGGAGGGCTCTGCTGGGCATCAGCCAGAGGGAGACTTCACCGGTCACAAAACGCAAATGCTCCCAGGCACGGGGAACTAAAACACGCGACTCTGATCGTCTGGGCACTTGTACGAGTTCTGGAAAAA